CAAAGTGGCCCCTGAACCTAGATACCTGTTCGAAGTAAAAGGTCACATGATCATTGCAGATCAGTGACCTTGTTTGAACTTTGGAAGGTCGTGGTGACCAAAATCATACAAGACTGTTTTGAAGTTTGCATTTGAATACGCAACAAAGATTACGCTGGACAGTATGTTCCTAAAAACATAAAGTTGTTCTGGGTCATTTTAGGTCAGTGACCTTTTCTGACATTTGAGAAGTGCATGTAAGATGTATAATGCGGTTCCTATTATCTATAAATTCGAAATGAACACTAGAAACTATCCCATACGGCAAGCCCTAGACAAATAGAGCAGATAGACTTTGACGTTGGTTTGACCTTTAAAACTGACCGTAGGTCAACAGAATTTGTACATTCAATTGTTGCGTTGCCTCAGAAAGTATCTCAGAGATGTATGGTCTCGTCTAACACTCCGTTGCTGCATCAGATTAGACGATTGCCGAGAAGTTGGCCGCAGAATCTATGGCATGAATTTGGCCTGCCGTAGGTCAGTGACCCTTCAAAGTACATCTAGATCGTAAATACTAATCGATCCGCTATTAAATTTTCTACATCTAAGCAAAATTTTGCGTGACTGCGCCGCACCTTTCGGAAATCATTCCGGAAAAAACTTTAAAGGGTTAATTTCACGCCCGAAAGTTTGACTTCAGGAAGCCAATGTACCCCCCCCCCCCCCCCAGCGTGTGTTAAAACAGCTTCGTTATTTACAACACATCAGTATGTTGCAGATATGGCTATTTAAAAACTGATGAGGGCATTATCACTGTTGTACGTAACTTCATTATTGCCAGAGCGGCGCGGTTTGCCTTAAAATGCGCCATCACGGCATTGAGCATTGCCAACCGTCTTGGCTCATGCCCCAGCGTGAGTTAGCCGAAGGGACTGTAAGGAGCTAAGAACTCGTGGTTCATCCGAATGTAGCATTTGGTGCGTGAGCTGTGTGAGTGGGAGCAGAAGCTGGCTACATATCTTGCTGTATTGAGTACAGCAAGATATGTATTGAGTAACACGGCATTGATCACGCTTATGGATAAGGCATACCCAATTTTGCGTAAGTGACTGTCCAGCATTATGCGTAGCGGGTGTGGCTGTGAAAGGGGCATAAGACTGAACATATCTAGGTTCTGAGCTCTTGCTGTTATCGTATGAATATGTTCATTTCACTGCAATTTGCACCTGTTAGTATAATTCCAACATCAGGCCTCAGTATGGAGACAAAATCATTGTTAAATTCATTTATCTTATGTTTGACAGACACTGAAAATTGGCTACATTTGACCACATCTTGTTGGGACAGCACCTGAGCAAGATTTTCAGTTAAGGATTTGTTTATGTACCCTTTGGGCATAACCTCAGCATATCAAGGGGAAGTATTTGATGTCCAGTGACATTTCTAATTTAAGACTACACTCGCCTGACAGGCAGTGCCTTAAATGAAGCAAGCGAGTGTTACTTTAGGAGCAAGTTCCAGGCTGGCTGTGGCTGACACATCCCATGGACATTTTCGCCGTGCTTGGCCATTTAGGAAAAGCTGGTATCAAGAACCTAGAGCTGTTTAAAATCATAGTGCGTTCTAATATGTGTTATTGTCTAATTATTTTATTATATATTGAAGTCATTGTAATATATAATTTAAACATGTTAATGATATATATTATCTAATATGTGACACCTTCGAGCATAGCTATTTGAAAAAGCCGTTGAAAAATGTCCCGACAAGTGAACTGAGGATGCTTCTTTCAGGAGTGTTTTTATGCTCAAGGTTTGGAAATTTGTTTGGTGTGTGCCAGTTGGTCCAACTTTGGTGAAAGATCACATGCTGGAGCATGCTAGGTAAAACAGAGCCAGGAAATAGGCATAACGCTTACCTAATTTGATGCAAGATTTAGTATGCCTTCGGGCTTAGCATCTTCCTAACATCTTTGCCATGACTTGAAGGCTGGTTGATTGTTTCATGAAGCAATCTGCACTGGGCAGATTGAGTTGGCATCCCATGAAAGCAAGCCATATCATGTGTGGTCACATGGTCTCTTGATTCGTGCAAGCAATGCATTATTTGACAAGCTTTTTTTGTGCAGATATGGATTCCTAGCGCATAAAGTACGAACAAAGTATTGGCGTATTGCCTATATGAAGCGAGAGGAGAGGTGTGCCATGTTCACTTTTAGTCACACAGATGAAAGGAAATCCTTTAAACTATTCCCCTTTTTGGTATTAAAATAAGCTTATTGGCTGACAGAAAGAAAGTGCAGTTTACTTCCCAAAAGGTTATACTAGGTAGAATGCACTTAGATGGAGAAGCCAACAAGCTGCACACTTGAGACCTGGCCTCATTTTTTTCTAGCTACAAATCATGTAAAGAAGACAGATCAAGACATTTATGATTCGTGGGAGACAGGTAAAGGTTTTTCACCTCTGGTTTTGTAGTGCAGAATGTTAGGGCGGATCGTCCTGCGGTTGCCTAAACTAAGAAAGATAGTCTCCCAGAACACAGTGAAATTGTTCGTTAAATTCCCCCCCCCCCGCGCCCATTATTGATGATCTTACGTCACGCTGGGTCAATAATTGACCACACTACGCCAGGTAAAAATTTAAATTTTCCTTCAAATCAGACGATTTTCTTTACATGCAGGCATTTACAACATTATGTCACGTAGCTGCATGCGAAGTGCAAAGAAGTGTTGCTCCTTTAATTCTGAGCGCATTGACATCCATTTGCATACGTTTTGTGCATATATTGATGATATACCTCGTTGCGGCTGTGAACTCTGCTGAGACCAATACCGTGTTCTTTTTGTTTGGGGGGAGGGGGAGGCTCTATCATGATAAGTTCAGAAACGGCATCTGAGGAGTTTGCATTGACCCCCTAGCCCTTGGGCAATGAAAATGACGAACCAAAATGAAAAAGGAAAGGAGTCATGAAAGTAACAAATTCGTGAAACAAAATGCGAAGTGAAAAACGATGAACCAGAACGAGAGTCAAAATGGTATTTTGGTGTGCCAAATACATTTTTACAGGTTTATAACAGCGTTTGGTGATGACCTGTGAGCTTTCGGAGCTTTTGCTTTTGCTCGGAGATAAGCTCGGAGCTTTAGTAAACTTCTTTGAGGCGACTTTCGGGGCTGCGGTCGCGGTTTCTGTCTTCATTAAAAAGAACATCAAAGTGTTCTATGTTATGATCACAGTCACTCATTTCTTCAGCTTATTATGGATTCAGTGCTTGGACCTCTCGTTAAACAAGCCATTTGGCATTCAATAGAGTTAGGCACTGCGGGGACCCCTTATTCGGGGTCACATTTCACCATGCAACATCCCAGCGTGCATCCAACCACTAACCGCACACAGCTCGCAATTATAACCAGTAGAAAATCCATGCACAGCTTTACGCGATGTGTGATTCGTAGTCCACCAGTAAAATAGCTCGGTATAATATAACAAACACGAGGCCAGCTCAGATAAGTAATAATGGTGCCTGACCAAACACGCTAGCAAGTACTGAACCGCAAGCGATGCTTATCGATGACCACGCATGTATTCGCTAGCGAAATTACACATATTCTATGCGATGACACCGATTCGTCAACAACAGCATCTGACAAAAACGCTGGCATCATTGCGCTCGCAATCACAGCACGTCTGTTGCTCACCCACCGAGGTTTTAGTCCTGTGACGCCATACGTCACATGACGCCATACGTCATACGACGTCATATGTCCTGTGACGCCATACGTCATACGCCATACGTCGTCACATACGGCCTTCACCTACGCCAACTGGCGTCGTCGAAGGCCTCGTTGGCAACACCGCGGTTGGCAGGCGCCGACGGTCCCCAGTCGGCCGTAGGGCGCAGGAGGGCCGTCAGTTTGCCGCCCCGCCACAGCTGGACACAGACCATGCCGACACCGACAGCGACGAGGAGGAACGCTGGGGAGGCGGCCAGTGCCATTGCGATGTGCTCGGCCAGCGCTGGGAAGTGCTGCACGTCTTCGCCGCAGCGGTACGACACGGGTTCGTGGAACACCAGAGTGAGCACCAACATACAGACCAGCACCAGCGGCGCGACGTATTTCCACACGACCAGCCAGTAGAGCCGCAGAGGCGTCGGAATCATGATGCCCATGTCGCTCTGCATCAAGTTCAGCAGACGCTCCGCGCCGAACACCCAGGCCACGACCAGCACCTCCACCAGCGCGATCGCGAACATCGAGTAGGAGACGGAGTAGTGGTCGACCAGCGCGAACACCAGCACGCCGCCATTGAAGCACATGCTCAGGCAGGCCACAAAGAACATCGCACAAGTTATCATTACCACAGTCCCCTTCCTCCCGCCTACGCGTGGCCATTCATCAAACACAGCGGTGGTCAGCGACTCCATCATGGTGAATTGAGAGTCCAGACCTAGCGTGATCATCATGATGAAGAAGAGGGCACTCCAGAGGGGCGCCACCGGCATGTGCGACAGCGTCTCCGGATAAACAATGAAAGCCAGCCCCAGGTCCGTGTTGACCACCTCCGTCAGTCTTTTGTTCATTTGCAGGGCCGTGAAACCCAACATCGAAAACACGATAACGCCCGACAGGAGAGAAGTCATCGCGTTGACGATTCCCACGAGGATGGCGTCCCTCATGCAATTATTTTTGAAGCGACTGAAACTGGCCAAGGTGATTAGTCCGCCGTGACTGCAGCCGAGTGAAAAGAAAGTCTGGGATGCAGCGTCTATCCAAACGGTTATGTCTAACAGCTGGTGGTAATCCGGGATGGCGAGGAACCGCAGGCCTTCAATGGCCCCGTCTAGTCCTGTGGTGGGGAGCACCAGCATGAGTAGAACGAAATACGGAAAGAAGACGGTAAAGTAGATTATCTTACCGAAAGACTTGATGCCCCTGAAGATGCAGGAGCCCACTAAAATCCAGGCAGCCAGCAAGCAAAGTGAAAGGTCCCACTTCATGCTTCCAAAGTTCTGCCAGCTATGGTTTTTCACACCTAAAACATTGTTGACGTAGTACTCCTCGCTGGCCAGCACTCGGTGACCGACATGGCAGAAAAATGTCGGCTAGCATCGCTTGTTCAGCGGTGCTGTTGATGCAGTGCGTATTATTGTACGGTGAAAAGTCGTGCTGCATGCAGAACTCGCTAACCGGGTAACACGTGTTGTTCCAGAATAGCTTGGCTCTATCACTGCTATTCACACAGAAGTCATCGTCGGCTATCGTGTAGCAGTCCCTTGTGTTGTAGTCGTGCCCGCACCGCGACCACGCGAGCTCGGACGTGAAGGACGCCGCCGCGTAGAAGACAACCCAGGCGATCACCATATTGTAGGTGAAGCAGACGAAGGCCGTCATCAGCAGCATGGCGTAGCCGAGGCCCGAGAACAGCGGCGACAGCTTCTGGAACAGCTTGTTGGGACCGAGGCTGGCGTACTGACCCAGCGTCAGTTCCATCACGTACATGGGTATGCCCACCGCCAGGAGCATGATGAGGTACGGTATGAGGAACGTGCCGCCGCCGTGCTTGTAGCACAGATAGGGGAAGCGCCAGATATTCCCCACGCCCACCGAGTATCCGATGCAGCTGAGGATAAAGTCGCACTGCGAGTCCCACTGCTCACGTTTCCTGGTGGTTGGCATTGTGGCACCTTCCTCGATTTTACTTCACCTTAAGCACGCCAGATTTTTCGTCCGCTGCCCTGCTGGGTCCTCTTGGTTCATTACCGCTATCTACCGCAGTGCTTCCATGCTTCGGTGCACTGCCTCGCTATTTTGTCGTTTTACTTCTAGCAGCTACCGGTTTTGCCTTCCTATTGATCGGCCACGCTTCATTTCCCCTAATTTTGCCACGCAGTCTGTTGTTCTGTCTCGCAGTTGTCTTCCACTGCTTTGTTCTCGCTCTGTCCTCATCCCCGCTGCCGTCATACTGCGCTGCTCTGGCTCTCTGTCATTCGGCCTTGCCTCGCCGCTCTTCTGGACCGTTCATACCGCCGATGTCCACGTCGCACCGCCCACTTATCGAGGCTGCACCAGACCTGCCCCACTCGGCGTCAGCGCCCCATCGGCACGGCCCACGAGCCCGCCCGGGACCGAGGCACGCTGGTGCTGCCCTGGTTTCCACTGGCGCCGTCACAACTGCGCGACCTTGCCACGTCCATCCCAGAACGCGCTCGACTGTCGGCGCGCAGCTCCCGCACCGAACCGCGCCGGCCGGGTCACCACGTAAGGCGCTCTCCCACCGCGCACCACGCCGAGGCCCTGACCTTCGCCGGATCTCACGGACGACAGCGCAGCAGGAGCGAGCAGCGCGTTGCGACCTCGGAGGCTGCCAGCCAGCGACTGGCCGGTTTTGGCCACGCCACTCGCGGACCTGTTCGCTTCAGATTATGGATGAGCTCGGCACGTTCGTGCGGGTCCCGCCGGCCCGGCCCGAGGTAACAGCCGGAGTTTCCCGGGCGCCTCCCTGTGACAGACGATACTGCCGTCTCTCGATGTAATCCAGGATGCGGTCAGGCTGGTTAAGATAGATTCTATGGCTACGTCACGCTGCCGTGTCACGCGTCTCTCCCGACAGCGGCCAACTGGGCGGACGCCGATGATGGAGACCCGTCGATGAATGCGCAAAGATCAATCAATCCAGTGCTCCAAGCAGCATTTCAAACATTTGAATGCCCTTGGGAAATGTGACGCTACGGATCCTGGTACCACATTATTCCAAATGGCATTCAGCATTTCATGAACGAAGGATTTTGAAGTATGCCGCGCGAAGGATTTTAAGACATAAATGGCTGCAGTGGGTAAGGGAACATGCACGCTTCTCACGCCCACCTGTAAACATGTGTTTGTTTACCACGCGATCAAACTCGCCTGGCCACGCGATCAAACTCGCCTGGCAACTCTCAGCGCCGCCCCTGGCACATCACGCGGCACTAAGGGGACTCACTCAACCGTGGCGAGCCATTAGCTGTCCATACTACCTTCACCCCAGCAGACCCCTGGTGACCTTGCCATCAGCACGTGCAGTGGCCTCTCACAAAGGCATTGTGGAAGGGCATGACGTGGCCATGCCGAATAGGTGATGCCTCGTTGGAGGCATCAAGCTGGTATAGGCCTGATAATATCCCAAACGTTTGGCTCCACGGCCATTTAACCTTTTGCTCCGAATGACCATGTAAAAAAGCGGTTTTGAAAGGTTTCCTCAGTCGCTTAGCATCAGAAGTACGCTCCCACTGTTGCCATATTCTAACCATTCATTTACACCCTTATTTTCTAAGGCACTGACGACTACACACCTATTCTGAGTATTCAGCTAATCCAAGTGTTTTTTCCAGGTATGTATAATATATATATATACATATATATATATATATATATATATATGTATATATATATATATATATATATATATATATATATATATATATATATATATATATATATATATATTTCCAGACATTTGCAGCCGTTATGTGTGGAAATCGTGCCCACGAACGCCAAATGTAAACGACTTGACAAATCCGTTTTTTTTGGTCTTGATAGCCGCCTGGCTTAAGGAATGGTAGGATTTTCCCGACGTTATCATGACGTTACCAATGCCAAGGTGACCTTGAAGTGCTCTGCCCGAAGAAGTCTCGTAAAAATCGCAGGCGTGTAGCTCAGAAACTAGGGGATTAGATCTTAACAAGGGAAGGGATGAGAGCTGCACCGAATGATCTTCGAGATGGCTTCTGCGGTTCAAAACCCCATACAAATGTAGAACACTTCCTTTAAAGGGAATGTAACACTTCAAGGGAATTGTTCTACATTTGGAAACTTACACTCCTTTAAAGGAGAGTAAGTTTCCAGTGGTGGTGAAGACTGGCTGACCCTGTGGTCGACGTGGTTCGTTTGCTGATACCGTGCAGTTTAGTGAGGTAGCGTGGCCATTCATCGTCTGACCTAGTTTGAAAGGTTAAAAGTGTAGAATCTGACTTGTTTGGTGGTTTGACCGTCTGGTCCATGCGTTTTGGTAACTGATGCTGGACATTTGGGTTAGCTTATGACTTATCTCCCATTTTGGGTGCTTGAAATGTCAAAATGAGTCCTGATTTGCTCACAGCGTGAATTGGATCAAAGGCAGCGCAAGCTGTACAGGTGCGACGGTCAGTTTGCCACATGTATTTAGAGAGTGCGAGGTAAACAAAGGCGGCTCAATTTACAGAGTGTTTGAATTACAAGGTATCATCAGGAGGTCAAGTGGATACTCACCACTGCGTCAAAATACTCCTGTAAAGGGATATGACACCACTCCTTAAAACGGCACAGTGCGGGACCCCCATTCGGCTGGCTCTGCACCGGGGGGGGGGGGGGGGCGTCTTTTTTCTCAGTGAAGGGCAACTTTGTATCACCACATTATGCTACACAATATCATCGAAGTGCTTCTCGTCAGTATGGGGTTTCACATGCAACCATCGGGGTACGCACTCCCGCGCATTTATGAAAAGACGGTTCTACATGTCTTTCATTTCTGTTCGAGTCAAAGTGGGAAAGATTTGCTTGTCCCAGCTCCCACCGCCCCCTTTCCAAATATTCGTTGGATTCCTCGGAGTCATGCAGATATCCGGATTTCGCCGCCAGTGACAAAATAACACGTCAGTTGACGCCATGCGGAGCGACTCATGTCACGCCATGGCAGCGTCATAGCAGCGCTCGGCAGCCATGTGCACGCCATGGCAGCTTCATAGCGCTCAGCGCACGACACGTGCAGAACGGCTCGGCAGCGATCGCTTCCATTGATCAATGATCGGGGCGTGGCGTCACAAACCTCGAACAGCCGTGACGTTTGTGAAGTCACAGGGTCTGCGGCTGTGTTCTGTTTCTCATCACGGCTGTGGCAGGTCGGGGATCGGGATAGCTCACTGGGGTTGTTAGCACTCACAACCATGTAAGTCCCACGTAGTTTCATGTGCGTCGCGGTAACCTAACGTCGACGAACACAGCTGACGCGTGTACCTGCTCGTCACTGATTGCCGTTCGATCCTCCACGGCTACTGAGCCATGGGGGGGGGGGGGGGGGGGGGAGGGAGAAGAGACGCCAAAAGGTACGAGCCGGGCAGTCCATTCCTCGGAGTGCGCGGCGTGCCCCGCACAGCGGGCATGCCAGGGGCCGCATGAAGAACCGAGGGCAGAGAACTGTGATCGTCACCGAACGCCTAATTATTGATCTTGAGGTCGCATGAGCCGTTCAGTGAGAGGCGGCAAATCACTGGCGGTTCGCTGGGTGACGGCAATCAGACAATGCGAAATGGCAGGTCAGTTAAAAGGCCGACCAACCGCAGGAACAAACTCACCAGGGGTGAGTTTATGTACTTGCTATCCACGCTGCACTTCGCGCTCGTCCTCCGCGCTGCTCTGTTCTGCTTCCCCTCGACCTCTGACCGCAGCCGGTGCTTTGATTGCCCGCCGGAGCCAGTCCGACCCGCCGACCTCAATCGAACGCCGGACGTGACCTCTGGCCCCGGCGGGGCCCCCTTTGACCCGCCCCATCCCTGGCGTCCACAAGAGACGACGGCGGGATTTTTAGCGGAGCGGAGGGGGCCGAAGCCCGGCCTTGAGAAGCCGGGCAAACACAGTCGGATGCCAAAGTGAAAATTGGGGGAGTTATCCATCGGTGCCGCGGGCGTGCGCCGCTTTATACCGGGCGGTGACGTCAGCGCGTGACGTGACGGACCTGCCCGGTGATTGGTCGTTGCGATTGCACCACGTTCCGTCCGACGCGCATCGGACCCCGGAAGACTCCGGAGGGTGGGGCGTAGGCCGGCGGCCGGCTGGAAACGGAGCGGGGGCGAAGAGAGGATCGGATATCGGCACGGGTGAGGGTGAGCCATGCGAAGCACGATGAACGTGGATGCTTGCTCGCCTTGGGGCCCGGATTCACGAGATTCGAAGAAATGTAATCTTGCGAACCCTCGAATACTAAGAGCCACTCCGAGTCCTGAAACCCACCATATGAATGCGCAGTTGTCGCCACGCCGCTGAGATCAAGAGGGACAAATTACGATTGGGGGTCAAACTAGAACGCTGGAGATTAATGAGCCCTAAAACAACATTTAAGAAATTTGAATGGGAAGCTGCTCAAAACGTACATGGTGTGGGAAAACGTTGGGAAAACTCCCATTGTTTAGAAATGGGGGGGGGGGGGACGTCCTCCTATCCCTCCCCATGAGTTGCACTCAACATATGCCAATAAATCCATTATAGATAATATTTGAACAATGATGACCGACCTTTGACAGCTCAAAACAGGTCGCAGCGTTCACATTAGTGTGTGTGGGGGGTGGGGTGGGGGGGGGGAGGGTCCTGGGTGGGGTGCGTGCGCTGCGCTGCTACCGGGCCACCGCTGGATGTTTGTGTGCCGCCGACTGCTGCTGTCACGCCTCCCCAAAAGGGCAAATTTATACTGAGGAGAGCATTCGTCAACACACGAACCAGATGATGTGAGCGCATGACTCGGCACGTTGCGACTGCGGTACACCCGACATCAGCACGCACTCATGCGAGCAACAGAGCTAGGATGAAGTGGGTGACCGGGGTGCGGTACATCCGCCATAGGCACGCGCTCATGTGAGCCATAGAACTAGGATGAAGCGGGTAACCGGGGGATTGGCGGGATGGTAGGTCCGGTCAGGCGCCATGAACGGCTGTCTCCCCGTACATGACTGTGCGTCCTTAACCACGCTATCCCACCTCCACCTTTTTAGCTAATGATATTCAACTGGGGCAAAACGAAACCAGGTGCAGTGATAATACGCCCAATTGGCAGGGATCGCACGCAACTGGCCAATTACATTGGCAAGAGCCCCCTGCCTGACGACCCTGGGAGTCCCCCCCCCCTCCCCAGGCCTTAACTAACCCACGCGGACTCCATGCATTCGGCGCCCCACCACACTCGTTGCAAGCATTCACATCCGCTGGCGCCCACGTCGCCTCAGTCATTCTCGACTCGCGCAGGGATGGGACCTCTCCCTTTATCCAGCGCCTTGGCATTATGATTGGGTCCTCTGCGTGAATGCTCGTTAGCTAAGTTAAGTTCATTTATCACATCTCAAGCATTCAGTCAAGCCACGTTTAAGCCCTATTTAACATACGCCATTTTAATTTTTCAGCTTGGCAACGACGCAGATACTGGGCCTACATCAGGTGTCCGAAGCTGCACGATGACTCGTTCTCTCGCCTGACCCTCAGGGTGACAG